GCAGCCAACACGCCCCGGGCCCCGCCTCCCCCCGCCCGCCCCGGCGGCAGCGATTTAATGCGTCCCTGCAGAACACCGGGCGGGGCGGCCGCTGCGCAGGGGAGTCGAAATAGGAGCTCTGGGACCGCCGGACAAAGCGGCCGGCCCCTCAGCCGGGGGGACCGCCTGCAGATTGCCGAGAGGCTGGGGGAGCACAGCCCCCACCGGCAGCCCGGATCTGCCCCTTTCCCTCACACACTCACACTGCGGGGAGCACATCCCTGAGCCCCGGTCAGCTCTGCTCCCGTGGAGCAGCATCTCCTGGGGGTGTCATTAAACCACGAGCTCTGACAACCACACAGACACGGCACAAGCTGTGCATTCCCAGGGGCCACCCCCCGCTCTGTGGCCAGGACCCTGCCCCACACTTCACACAGATGCTCACTGACATCTGCCCCCAGCAAAGCTGTCCTGCTCTTCAGAGCAGCGTTACGGGGCAGGGTGAGGAGCTGTGCAGCACCCAACCCCCAGTAGCTCTGCAGGGGCAGCCTTGTAAAACACATTTCCAGAAACCAGACACCCTAAGACTTCCCCAAACGCAAATACCAACATCAAAGAGCCAAACTTGGTCCTAAAAAAAAAAAATAATAATCGAGGCTTCCTGAGCCAAACAGCTGCCTACGTGTTGAAAATGGGTGATCTACAATAAAAACACATCAAAAAGCATCTTTGATATTTTTCAGCTGCCGGACAGCCAGGTCCACTGGGAGGTTGAATTTTAAGTTGCTCAGACGACTGAGGATGTTGAGCGCGCTCTCGAAGCCTGTGTTTGCCATGTAGCTCCAAGGCTGGTAGTGGGACTGCACCAGAGCTCCGGATTTGCAGATGAGGTTCACCCAGGAGACCAGGCGCTGCTCGTTCAGGGCCATACACACCAGGGCCTTCAGCTCTGAGTCTGCACTGCGCTTGAAGGGGTCGTGCTCTGTCAGGACAGTGTGGATGGCTGTCAGCAGGCTCTGCTTGGGGGTGACGGTCACTCCTCCAGTCACAGGCAAGGCAAAGGACTGGGAGAGCTTGCGAGCTGGGGACTCCACGAAGGCTTGCCCGTTCTTAGAGTTGTAATACTTCACAAAGAGCTCCCAGGGATGCATGGTCTTTGGGGAGGAGGTGAAGGCAGGAATCAAGCAGGCGATGGGGGCCAGCACCAGGCTCATTCCCGGAGAAGAGGCGTAGAGCCCATGGGCCATCAGGTCTCGCAAAGCAATGGCCAGCTCCTTCCGCACAGCCAGAGTCAGCTCATCCCTGCCTCCCAAGGGAACATCCTGCAGGTCAGAGGAGCTGATGACATGGTCTTCCTGCTGGTGTTTCATTGCCAGCTGCCTCACCCGCTCTACAGACAACTCCAGTCTCTTGAGTAAGGGGGAATAGTCCTGGTCAGCTTGGTCCTTCTGCCAGAGGCTGCGGGGAATCTGGCCGGTCGCGCAGCCGAATTGGCTGACAGCAAAGATCTGCAGCACCGCCAGCATGCGGCGCATCAGCTGCAGGCCTGTTTCCCGCATCTTCCTGGCATCTTCTGGGCTCACTGCTCAGGTCAGAAAAGAGAGAAAAAAAAAAAAAGGACTCTCATTAAGGAACCAACAGGTCTCCTCTTTCCTGCACACAAAGGGAGCACAAATTTCTGCTCCTCCTTTGCCACAGAACCATCTCCTCCTTGGGAGTTTTTGTCACTAGGACTGATGCTACTTTTCCTAGTTTCAAAGCACTGAAGCCAACCACAAAAGCAAACGTTTGCATGGCCTGTTGTCCACAATCAGGTCATCTTACAGAAAATAAATACTACAATAGCTTTCCTTGTGGGAATATATATAGAAATGAAAGATCATTCTTTAGACACAATATTAGCATTACATAATTAGAAGACACTGAAAACTGCTGAAGGAGATGACAAAGAACACTGGCTCATCCAGCTCATGGTACCTGCTCACAGAGCTAAGAGTTCAAAGTGCAATAATCTGAGTGCAGACCAACAGCACATACAAGACAAGGCTGCTCAGTCTATCCATACATTGCACTAAGCATCTTCTGTTTCCCAGCTCTGCCAAGGACCAATCCCACCCTCTGTGCCACACTTTAGGGTTCTGTGGCTAATGGTCCCAAGGAGGAAGGGTAAAGGAACTGGACCCAGGCCTTCTGTTAGTAGGAGCAGGAAAGAAGAGAAATCAACTGCCAGAAGAGCAGAGCAGAGCAGCCCAGCATGGCTGGACACTTGCAGAACCCCAAGTGAGTGACAGCAGGAGCAGTGCCAGTGGATCTGAGCCCCAGTGCCCACCTCTGCTTCCAGGAGGCCGTGGCTGTGGTTTGTGGGAGCCACCACTGTCTTTTCTGCCTGCGCATTCACAGTGCCCATCTTCTGCCTTACTAGAGCTTCCAACTTCATCTAGAACAAAAATTTCACACAGTTAATTCACTTGGGAATTTAAGCTGCACATCCCCAGTACTAAGGTCAATATTCCTTAGGCCTCTCTGCTCCTTTTTTGTCAGTCTCCTGTTCTCCCCACTGTCAGTTCAGAGATCTGTACTTCCCTGTGACCCAGAAACCCTTCCTGCATGCTCTGACATCTGTGACCTCCCTCCTCATAACTTTGTCAGGGAATAACGCAGCAATTCAATCTGCTCATCAACATTTCAGCACTGACCCTGAATAAAGTTGATGAACATTTCGAGGTCCCTGATCTGTGTCTTCAGTTGCTCCACCAGCTGCTCCTTCACCCTGGCTGGATTAACAATCTGTGCTATGGCAGCATCCACACGCTGTCGCAGCTCCTCCGGAGAGAGCGTTGCAACATCTTCACTCAAGTCCATGTCCAGCTTCTTTATCAACTCATTTATAATCATCTGCAAAACATGAGTTGGCAGCATGATGTCACCATGTGGCACTGCTGCCCATGAGCTTCAAAATACTCCTTTACCCATTCATTTCCTTGGAAACAGGCCACTTGCAGCACACAGAAAACTGCAAGAGAAGACACTGGACAGGTTTACACATACTGATACTCTATTGCAGCTGCTGGCAGGAAATAACGACTGACCAACACCTACAGTCTATTAGAGGCTCACAAATGCTAAGAAAAGACACAAGCAGATGGACTCTGCGAGCCTTACCCGTTGTCTCTCCATAACCACGGACTGTGGCAGAGAATCATAGCTGCCCTCCTGGTAAGCAAAAGTCTCCAGGTCATCCAGCTGAGTCTTGAGCTGCAGGATCAGCTCTCTCTGCTTCTCCTTCTGGATCTCAACTTGGTCCTGCTTCTCTTGCTCACTCTGAAAAAAAAACCACAAGTAAATAAAATGGAAGATTACTGACACAGGCAAGTGCCAGAGAACAGGGCTGCGGGATGAGCGTTTCCTTCAGCTCCTACACCCAGCCCTGTGTCACAGGGCAGGACCCAGGAAGCAGCCAAACACTGTGTGTGTCAAAGGTCCTCCGAGTCACCGCTGAGGCTGCAGTGGAGCAGGGACACGCACAGCAGGGCCCCAGCGTGTCCCCGCCAACTGGCTCCAAGTCACCCAGGACCCGCACCGCCCGTGACCGAGCTCGGTGCACCGACCGCCGCCCGGTCCCTCCCGGAGCCGGCGCAGCCCCAGCGGAGCCTCCGGGCTGCAGTGCTGGGTGGCTGC